TATATTACTATCTTTTAATTCTTGGCCTCGTTTTCCTTGCTAAGTTAAATATTTTCCAGATAGTCTAAACTAAGAACAACAACTCTCATCATACTTTCTTCTTGAGAGTGGAAATGAAAGCTAAGTTGATTAATTACAGAAATGAGAGGAAACATGTCATTATATTTTAACCACTGTGTAAAGAAGGCTCTTGTGTAACAAGCTATCAGGGTCTTTCTCTTCAGATAATTTTGTTTTTCCACAGATCACTGTTGGGATGAAGTTTTATAGCTTTGGAGTCCTTGTAGCCACTATCCTCTTCTGTGAGCAGCATGCCTTCGCATTTCAAAGGTAACCTGGTAGAATCCTAGAGGGTGGTGGGCCATTTGTTTGCCTCACATGGAATCTGGTCAGTGCATTGGATTGGGGAGCAAATAGTAAAGTTTGAAGGTCAGCTTTTCCAGAATCATTCCATGTTTCTCTGACAAATAGTAGATTTCATTATAAGGATCACAGTAGATATAAGGTCTGTCTCTTTTCTTATCTCTTTTTAGTTTTATTACTGAGAGGATCATGGATGATATGTATATTCAGTGGCTGCGGAGAATAAAGAAACAGAAACTTTTATAAAAAATAATTATTTATACTCTAACACTTATAAAATAAATTAATTATAGATAATTTATTTTCTTCTTGTACATGGAACATAGGTAGGAAAAGAGGGTCAAGGTATCGAATAGGAGATTTTGATTGTACATGACACTATTCAGCATGGAACATAAAAGTAAGAATAGTTGTGTTATAAGAACAGCTATGTGAACATATCTAATTGTTATTTTGCTTAGTAGAGTGATTCCCTTAGGATTTTCTACTGTAAACCACTTAGAAGAACACAAATGAATATGCTCTAGCATACATAATACATGCTGAAAATAGTTCCTAGCTGTGTATAATATTATTATTGATTAGTTAGTCAATATTTAGGTTTTTTAAAATTTATATTGTTTCCTTTGGAATTATCTTTTTTTTCCTTTGCTTTGCTTCTATGATCCTTTTCTTCTCCAATTATTTCTGATACAGAGTTCTCTCCCCAGGTTAGTGAGTGGCAAAGAGAGAAGGGACATATCAGGGGCAGGAAAAATTCTACCAGAAAAAATTTTCTGAGTCATAAAGAGCCATAGGACAGCACTTAAGATGATAGAGCTTGACCGCTGAGCCCGAAGCTGTGTTTGCACATCGCCACTGAACTAACTATAGTTAGTTGATTCTTTTTTGTTCATCATTATTGTCAAGTGTCCCTAACTTACCAATATTTCTCCTTCTAGGTTCTTGACCAGTTAAGCCATTTGCCACTGCTCATGAATCCATGTATATTCTAACTTTTTATAACTTCTTATTCCACACAAAATGTATGATCAGATGTGCTGCCTGAAGCTCTGCCTATTTGAGAATGTTTCTCTCATTGCTGTCTTTCTGAGCCACCCCTGAGTGAGTCTATAGTGCAGCTCCAGTCCACTTTTTATTTGTGCCTACACATAAAAAGCTGACTATCCATGTATCAAAATTCCTCTTTCTCTACTTGCGTTAGTTCTGATCATTCCAAGAAGCAGACACCAAAATGGAATTATACATGCAAGAGATGTGTTGAGAAAAATGCTTGAGAGGCAGAAATGGGGAGGGGTCAAGAGAAGACTGAGAGAGCCCTGAGACTGTAATACAGGTTTCACCCCTGTGGAGGAGAAAAGGAGGGGAAAAAGGTGGAGAAGGAAGGTCTTAGATTGTATTGCATTTCTAAGAAAGTTTTTGCAAAGCTGATAGACAGTCTTTGAGCCAATGCCATCTATCGAAAGAGTCTCTCATCTTTCAAGAATGAGCTTTTCTTAGTATCCTCACCATGGTCAGTTATTAGCTGAAAGCAGGCAGTTGGAAATATGACTTTCATATTAAACAGGGACAGATTTTAAGCACAGCAACTGGAGCCTTCCATCAATTACACACCTTGCAGTTGGAGATCTGAGAGGTACATTCTGATGACTACAACACTC